CTGTTTGTATAGTTTTTACCTGCTACATCACTATTCTCTAATTCCCAGACTCTCAATAGATGCCAACCCCACCCCGATGACCTTTTGGTCTTCAGCTGACGCATCATTATGGCCCCATTAAAAATGGACAGCAAGCCATTGCCAGAGGGGCAGTTCTCATAATACAATAAGAACGTGTTTTAATTGTCTTGCTCTAGAAATTAGCTGCTGCATATTTGCGTCTGGGTTCCTTATGTTTGTTCCTTCATCACTGATCCCTTGTTTGTTGATTTACCGATTTACTTTCCTGCTCTTCCTCACATAGTGACTGTGTAAATACAGCACAAAGCTGGGTCAGCATAGTCATATATTGGGTGGGTTTTTTACAAGAACATTTATAGAGAGATATGTGCTCTAAGTTGGCTTCCTCACCCCGTGGCCTTTTGTTCTTCAGGTTCTGTTCTACACATGAGCACAAACTCACATTCTGTTCCTTACTGCCTCACTTGCTCTTCATCTCACCCTCTCTGTCTCCCAGGGCGACAAAGCTAATTTGAGGCAGATCTTGCCCTAAGGGGTAAACTGCGGCATCCACACACACATGCCTCCACGTCCTCCTCCCCACTCCACCCTGACCACTTTATCTTCACCTTTCTGCCGTGAGCTACCCCCTGACAACCACAGTTAGCACTGACGCTAACTGATCTAGCCACTTACCATCATCATCTATGCAATTTTCCAGCAACACTGTCAATACCAAGAGAAAAATGAAACACACCAACAAATGTTCAGAACTGAGTGTATTAAGGACTTCTGGTCAAATATAAAACCATTTGAACCAATCAAAATGAGAGAATGGCTTGACACGTAGTTAATGAAACTGATATAGTGTGTAGGAATACATTTTTTGATACATTGAAATTAATAATAAAAAAAAAAGCATAATGTGAAGATGGGAAACTTTGGATTTAGTAAAACTAATTTCAGTGAATTTTGCAAGCAATTGAAGAGGTTTTTTTTGAGAGATACCAATTTTTACAAAAGATTAACATCTTATATCTATGAAAAGGCAGTATTAAAACATGAGAAGCATAGAAGCCAAGACTAATAGTGATACACATTCCAGCTTTGAACAGTAGGAAATGTTTTTGTTAATGCATTTGATTAACTGTAGCTGGGTTTTGAGACAAAAAAAAAAAGAAGTCCTAGTTTATTGAGATTTAACACGTTAAGGTCTTGACCACAGTATAGAGTATTGCTTAGGTGACTTTCTTTTTTCCTAAGGCAATTTTCTGGGGTTGAAAAAAAAAAGGGAATTTGGAAAAAATGAACCTGTCTTTGTGTTTTTCTTTCCCGAACTATCCCCCTTAAAAATGTCTTAGGACTTTGCCCCAATAAACAATTTCTTTTAACTCCTGAGAATATTAAACTTTTGAAAGAGTTAGACTCTCTTTGAAGGACCTTTAACTTCTTATTCTAAAAATGTTTCTTTTTCCATAGCATGAAATTTTTATTAGCTACTTGTTTTATCTTGTTTGATTTATTTTGTTTTTCAAAACTCCAAAAAGTAGTTTTTAATGTCTTTGATAAATTAAATCCATTATAATCGTTTAATCGATTGATTAAAAAATACATTTCAAATTAATATCTATTAGCTCTTCACTTCTTTATATTTGTTATGATTAATCCCTGGGTTAGGTAAAGATTTGATCCCTTAGATAAAATAATTGTATTGATGTATCATATGACACATCCCTAGGCTAAATGAGAGTGATGATTGAATTAAAGCTGTTTCATATAACAATCCCCCAACATAAAAAGGTTTGTAGATTTTCCTAAACAGTTTTTGTAGCACCATGGTGGTGAGGTCAGACCTCTTTCCAAATGGTAGCACAATGAGAGGTGATGAATCTGTAAAAGCCTTAACTAACTGCAGAGCATGGTACGAACTAGAGATTTTCACAGCACACTGCTTTGTTGCAAAACGAGTCCCGAAATTATCACATTGGTGATCCTACTGTCATAGCTGAATGGATTATAAGCAAGTGCATGGCAATGCAGAAGACTTTTAAAAAGTGGAAACACTGTTTAGCTATGCTATACAATAAATCTATTGATATTTTCCAAAGGTCTAAGAAGAATTAAGATTGCAAAACAGAAAGTGGATATATCAGTTTTCCAAATGAGCTTTATTCATATGGAGAGTGGGACCCCTTGTATTAAATTCACACTCTGCACAACAAATGGGGTGGCTGTGGTCTGTCATGTTGATGTATAGATATGCAGCCTCATGTGTATGTGCATGATATATGTGTGTTGAGCAGGGAGGCAGTTGTAACAAAAGGCAGCTATTTGTTTGCCTGCTCTGGACAGAAACACATAAACACGTGTCCTTCACTTACATTCCTTCCTTTATCCAATAGAAAAAGAGGTCATTTTATGTTTTCGTATGTGTAAGATCTATTACCTCATGACTGTTAATTTTTTTTCTGTAGCTCCTCTTTGTGTCAGAACTACAATTTGACAAAATTGTTTATTTTAAAGCAGTCTAAATAAAAGGGTATTCTCTATCAAAACCAACATATTACTGTACATTTCTAAAGCATATTTCAATGGTATTGCTGTAACTTCTGCTGCCTTTTACAGTACATTGTTTGCAACTGATTTCAGGGTTAGCAGTGAATTGACAACATTCTTCTTAAAATTTTGGCTTTTTTTCACAAAAACAAAACCTTTATGTGCCAACAATAGGAAGAATCCTTATTTGAATTGATCTAGCAAAACTTTCATGGAATAAACTCAAACAGCTTTGGTAAGCTTCTGATAAGTTCTAAAAAATGAAATAAAATGATCTACTTTTGAGCAGAATTAAACTTTCTTTAAGAGTAAAAGTAGACACGACAAAAGGGAAGGTCATAGTGCTTTTCCTCTGAGTAGGAAATTTGACTTACATTCCCTTTAAACCTGAAACTTCTTGAAGGGGACATGATTTGCTTTCTGTATCCAGATCTTTTGGGGTCGGCTGTGACTTCACACACCTATATAGGTCTTGATCATTTTTAACCTTTTCTCACAATCTCTTTAAAAAAGAGAATTCGACTTTATGAAAATGCAGGCTTAGGCTGTCATTTTCTTCTGACAGATGAAGGAACTGTTAGAGATACATATAACACATGAAACAGGGTGTGTGTGTGTGGACTGGTTTTACAGTGGTGTGGGGACTTTTATCTGTTTACACAGTCACGTCATCAGGACCTATGTCATTATGGAGACCAAAATCCTGGTCCCCATATGGTAAAGTTCTGTTCTTGAGTTGGAGTTAGGGTTAGGGTCTGGGTTAGGCCATATAAAAGGAATGCAAGTTAATGAAATGTCCCCATAAGTCATCAAAACATGACAGGGTGTGTTTGGGTGATGGTGTGTGGTGTTTGAGGCATACACCAGATAGACCTCTAGAAATGAGACATAGGTTCTGCTATGTCAGATCAACTGGGAGAACAAATGCTATGACAGCAGCTTGTTAGAGAAATGTGTGTGTGTGTCTGCAAAAACAAAAAGCGAGACTGAGCAAACTAAGTTATTAGCAGTTACTGCAATTTGATCAGTATTATTAAAAGTAAAATGTTTATAGATTTTATTTGAATAAGACTACATAAGTGAGTAGTTAATTATGTAGGAACACAATGTAAATTATTTTAATGTTATGATGGATGGCAAACGAAAAACAGGATCAGGAAGAGAAAAATCATTTTGAGTGTTAAGAAGCGCTGGGAAAGATGAAGAGTAGAATGGATGTTGGGGGGGCTGGCATGGTGTCGGCAGAGGCACGCTCCCTGACCACTCTATGGAAGGGGGCGTAGGCCAGGTCTCCCATCAATTACAACCTTGACCCTTCTCTCCTCTCCTTCCTCGCCGTCTCGCACACACTTTCTGCCTCATTCAAACATCCTCCCCTGCTTCTCATCCTCTGCTCCTATAAATCAATCTCTTTCCCTCCCTCCCTCCCTGTCCCTCCTTCCCATCCCCAAAGGCTTCTCCCATCTTCCCCCTCCTTCTCTTCCTCGTTTTCTCTATCTACCCTCCTCATCATCTCTCACCACTCCTATGGATGTTTTCATCGCTGGAAGTGCAGTGGGAGTAGAAAGGTCAAAGGTGGGCATACAGGAGAGAGCGAAAGAGGCAAAAGGCAACAAGGGAATGTAAAAATGAGTGAGTGAGTGTATTTAATCAAAGTAGTGTTGGGCAGATAAAATCTATTGTTTTTGGCTTTATCTATCTCAGGGCAACTGGTGACATTCTTGGTTGTTGTTTTACCTTTCATCTTCTTCATGTAAATCACCGTCAAACAGCATAACATGTTTCTTGTGCAAACACACTGATATTTATACAGCCTAGTCCTGATCATTTAACACCAAATATCAACTCTAAACATAGATACAGGTGCTTTTAGATGTTGAGTTAGATAATAGCTCATGATATACAGGGTTAACAGGTAATACAACAGGAACTGGGAAAACAAGCAGAAAGCCCTTTATTAGGAAAAGATTTATTACCACATGTGTAACGGGCAGGATTGTTTGATTTCAGCTATACTCACTGATGTCTTAAGGTGTCATTTTCAAGAAATGCATGTATATACAGTAGACCAAAGCTAAATGATTTACATATGTAAACTTAGGTTAGGCATAAATATTTGAACTATTTTATTGGCAAAACTGTTTTTTGTTTAAGTTAAGCTCATGGAACTGACAGATCTTAAGGTAAAGATGATATATTTTCATATTGAGGTCAGAGACAATAATTACTGACAGACAATATTGCTTTCATAGCCTTCTTTGTTCAATCTTAAACCAGGAATGTTTATCCTCTTGCAAATTTCTATTTGAGTTAGAGTATGATTAAAAGAGCTAAAATTAGTATTTTTAAATCTAGAGTCAGTGTATCAGCTGTCAACTCTTAACTTTAGCTTCAGTATAAATTCAGAACATATATCAAGTTAACAGAAAATGGTAAGAAGAGACCTTTTCCCTTACCCTCCCTCAGCATGCCCACAGTCAGACACTTCATAAAGCGGCAGGCCTGGCATGACTTGCGTCTCCTCTTGGTGATCTCACACTCGTTGGTGGCGGGACAGCTGTACTCAATGTTGCCTGTGGCATGCAGACAGGTTGCAGAAACAAAGAGCAGTTTGATTGCAGTTAGAAAACTTCAACAGAGACAGACATACATGCAAGTTAAAATATGCCATGGAACCACAGCATGTAGATTACGAAAAACAAAACTTAAAGAAAAGTTGTAGATAAACCAGTGTATAAATAGTGTACAAATGTCTGTGTATATGTAGACACACTTTAACAATAAACCTGGGGTTTTAAAGAGAAATTAGGTAATTGTTGGCGTGATGGTTAATTTAAACACATCACTGTTGAAGATTTATTTTTCTTTTAGCAATACTAATCCTTGAGAATTAATTTTGCAAGTTCTTGATAAAAGTGTTTAATATGGATAAGTTACTGTAAGGCTGCATGACTGTAAAAAAGGATGTGAAACGCAATAGAACAGCTGATTTTTATACGAATATTGATGTTGTGACATCAATATTGAACAGGACCACAGTTGAATACATCACCTCTTTCATAGTGTTCGCCCCCTTTTTAGGTGACTGCATGCTAACCAAGATTTTTAATTCTGCCAATCAATTTTAAAGAAATATTTCTCCTTAACTTCCACATAAGCCAATAATTATATATTTTTGATAATATATAACTGCATTAGAAGTTAATTTAAATAAAAAGATTAGGCTTATTTATCACTGAAATTTAAAGCACAGTATTTTATGTTTAAATGTTCATAAAGAAGTCCTAATAATAATTTATAGGGGTGGAATTTAATAGGTTTTCGTCTTCCTACTCACTTTTGAGCTCAATGAATTGTATAACATATCCACTGGTTAAATTAACTTATTTATTAATTTGTTTGTGGTGACATGCTCAAAATGAACGACGACATAAAAAAAAATCATAAAAAAGGCCAAACTTCAGTCACAAATAACCTTATCATAACTCTCTCTATAGGTTGAACCCCTCATTGTTGCATGGTCAATGTTCTACCAGTTCCCCTTGTTTCATTTTATTTTGAAGGCTTGTTAAAGATTATGTGTATGGTAGGTCAAGCCACAGCTGTAAATTAAATACAGAGGCTGTAATAGCTCTGTTAATAGATTTTTTTGAGTATTTTTATCTCTAAAAACATTTGAATATTATATCACAATAAAGAATTGTTTTCTTAGTGTAAAGCTGAACCAATCATGGTAGTCCTTAAATAATTTTAGCTTAATTTGATAATACCATTCACATTTTACACCCAGTTGGAATAAACTGAAACAAACTTGTTACTTGGCAGTTTTCATGTATCTGCAGCAGTAGACATGTAAGCATATTAAACAGAATAAAGTTATCTTCTCCTCTCATTCCAGCCTGACAGCTACAGTACTCCAGCAGACCCACACATCTCCCACTGAAACAGAGTAAACAGTGATTACTATTGACTGCTGCAGCAGAGTGGATGTTTTCTCATTACTGGACTGATTAAGAAGCTAGTTAGCTTTGGAAAAGGCTAAATGCCCAAACACTTCCTAATGGGTAACAAGACACTCATTAATTGGCCCTGTTAGTTAAAAGGCTAAACACTCTAAATGCTGACAGAACTACAGTCTAATGGATGCTGCTAATGGGACTAGTTAGCCCACACCCAGCATTTAGAAGCTGATCTTACAGGAAGACTAGATTAATTCTTGCAGTTAAGAGGGACACTTCCCGTGCAGTAAGGCTAAATGTGCTAATGATATGGAATCTGCATGGACTAATGGGCACTGAGGAAAAAGCCTGGCACTTTCAAAGAAACAGGCAAGCTGTGAGTGCTGAACACTTAAAGAAGACACTCTTAAAGCTGAGAGGGTTGAGAATGCATACATTATATAATGCCTTCCATACATACATACATAAATATATATATATATATATATATATATATATATATATATATATATATATATATATATATATATATATATATATATATATATATAAAATAGTACGACAGGATCTTTAATTTTATTTTAATGCATGCCTAAATGTCTCTTAGTAAACAGAATAAAAGTTAGTATTAGAAATGTTATTCTCTATTTCTGAGTGAAAAAGTTTTTATGCACCTCCCACATGTGATGTTTGCATCACAACTTGAATAACACAATTTAAGATAAGGAATTGTGATATGCAGCTTTTTAATAATGATATTTTGTAATATTTACTATGATGCCAAAACAGACTTTCAAAATTAGCAATATGTGAGTCATTGCATGCAGTCTGAAACCCTGGAGTATAAACTCTCTAGTAATGAAATCAAACTCTTTCTTATTACATCCGTTACATTAAGGTTGAGTAAACACTAACTGAATCTAATCAGATTTTAAAATGCATTCATATTTACTGAAGATATTATGGAATTAGCAACGGAAAGAGTATTAGATTACAATACTGTTCACCACTTTTTTTCTTCTGATAATAAAAACTGCTGTGATAATTTCTAATTCCTTATTTAAACAGGTTAGAAATAAAAAATACAACGATGTGACTATAGCCAAGAGATGCAAACATTAACCCTCATTGTTTCACCACTAAATAAAGTAAGTATTAAGGAAAACGACCCAAACAGTTAGTATTGAATAATCTAAAAAGTCTTTATGAATATTGAGTTCTTTAGATTTCTAGTAATAATGTTTCTCAGCTGGTCCTTTACTATATCCCTCCTCCGTTTTCGTTTTTCTTGCCCTCGTCCATCTTCTGTCTGAGCGTTTGCTTTTCTGTTGCCGTTTCATAGCCCCACACCTCCATCTCTCATCCATTGCCCTCCTCTACTTTCCCCTTTATCCCTCTTTCTCAATAAGGGAGTGATAGATGCAGGTTGTCAGGTGTTACTGGACTAAAGCCACAGAAACAGCAGCTGCCAGAGCCACTTCCTCCACACTGCGACACACACGTGCAAAAGCACGCCAGCCCACACATAGCACTAATTCCTTCCTACATCCATGTGCCCAGTTCATCCTCCCCCTTCTCCTTCGTTGCCCACATTCCTTTCCTCATTTTATTGTTTATCTGCCCCTATCCCTTCCTCTCCCTACACCATGCTCTCCTCCCTGTCCAGCTGGAGGTGTTTTTTTGGTGATTACCTGTGGTTTTATTGGCTAATGGGTTGAAACACACCAATATGTCTGCCACTACCCATCTGAGGCTGGCCCTGCTTTCCTGCCAGGACAAACAAACCAACACACACACAGCAGGAACATGTGCCCAGACGTGCACATAAACCTTAGCTCATTTACATTTGGATGAACCCTCGGACGTGCAGCCCACACAGACACACAAGATTCACTCTGTCTGCACTGAGTAACAAAAGGAAATATCACAAACCACTTGTTTTATGCATTTATAAATGCTTTTTGATCAATTCTTTCAAGTGACTGGTCAAGAAAAGTTTATGAAACCTAGTTTTAAAAATGTCAAAAGTGGGTTAATTTCTTCTAAAAACCTCTCATCCTTTGCATCATCAAATTATTATATTACAATATACTTTTACTTAAATTTCACTTAAATCCTATTAATTCTGTCTTTAAAAGTCTTAAATAAATGATATTCTTCCCTCTGTACGGGTAAAATATAGACTATATTGGAAGAATAAAAAAACAGGGCAGTGAAAATAAGATCTCTACACTAAAGCAAAGCTATTCTTGCAGCCCTTAAGGATCATACCCAAAAAGAAGATCTATTAACAGAGCTACTACAGCCTCTGTATTTTCTTCACAGCTGTTTCCTGACCTACCATACATGTAATCTTTAACAAGCCTTCTAAATAAAATGAAACAAGGGGAACTGGTAGAACATTTGACCCTGCAACAATGAGGGGTTAAACCTATAGAGAGTCATGACAAGGTTATGTGTGACTACCTATTCATGTACGTATGTGCAGGCTTTGCCTCTGCAGCTGGAGCTTGTGTGTGCATGTTGGTGTTTTTGCTTTTATCTTCGTGTGCTGAGAACTGATAGGAATTTAACTGTGCCCTTATGTCATCCCATAATAAACGCATCATCTCCAGGTAGCTGTGGCCATGTCGCATGTGAGACGACACCCCACCCACAGTCTACTCTCTTTGGTTTCAACGGGAAAGCTGCTTATCAGAGGCAAAGCAAGGCGAGCACAGACAGTTCAATGGATTAAAAAGCAGATAGATAAACCCTGCCTAAGATGACTGACTGACTGAATCCATAATTGGTAGCTGGTTATTGCAAAGGTAAACAAAGGGACGAGACTACTATCCTGTCAAAAGGGATCCATTAGTTTAAAAAAAGTTTTTATTCATTTATTTATTTTATTTGCTGATTAAATTTGGTAGAATGAAGCTAATCTAACTAAATGTGATTTAATCCGCTATGATCTAAAACAAGACTGTTATTTGCATAAATGTTTCTTCACTTAAAAAAAGTACCTTAGCATACCTGTACAGTATGAAGTAAATTCAAACCATTTTGAGCATAAGTCCTGCAGTGTTAAAAAAAAAAATATGTGAAATCCTATTTTATAATCTACATATCCTAAATATATAATTATTGGTTCAATAGTAAATAAAAAAAACATCTACTTACTTACCATGCGAATGATTGATTAATGAGAATTTTAAATAAAAAAGGTTTGATCAAGTCGCAGGTTACTCTGTTTGATGCTTCAACTTGATTTATTTGTTATTCGACCAAGAAACTTTTACTTCTGATATATATTAACATGAGAAAAAGTTGTTAGAATACTACTTCTGATACAATATCAGAAATTATAGCTTAAAGAATGCAGACTAAAACTATGCAGACGGCTCTCATCACATTTAAACGGTGTTAGAATTTGTTACATTTTCATTTTAGAGATGGAACATTTTAAGCTATTTTTGATAAACTTTAAAACCCATAAAGGTGAGAAACATCTCTTGGTTATGATAATGAACTAAAATAAACAGTGTGAAGCAATCTATTACTATTACAAACTTTATCTTTCGAACAGCCTGTCTGAAATATTCGTCTTCCTGGGTTTGCTTTTAAAAAATCTGAAAAATATTATCCTTTAATCATACTTTAAGAATAATTTTATCCTTAATAGGCTACAGTTAAACCCAACATAACCATGGCTAATATAGAATAAAGAAAACTGCAGTGTAATGTCTAAATACCTGTGCATTTTCCGCAATCATGTGGGCCCTAACAAGACATAAGCAGCGGATTACAGAGCCTAATTCCTGGAGCTCTTCTCATCATGTGGATTATTGCTCAATCCTGTCTTTACTCTACCCCCTTGCGTGGACTTTTGACCCGTTGACATGACCCCTGCCCTTCCTCTGACATTGTGTTATCTCCTAGAAAACAGGCATATACCAAACTCACTCCTGCCATGAGCAGCTAGATCTGGGAATGCAAGCACTCCCAGGAAATTGTTTAGCTGTTGATAAAGGAGAGGTCAAGGTTGTGGTTGAAACTGGGCAGTGGTGTTAAGCTGATGATGTGTATATTACTATATCTTCAGTGTGTTATTGCAGTATAAGATCAAAACATAAATGGCTGGAGAGGGAGAAGAGGCCTCGGTGCCATGGAGGCTATAAAGGATATGCATTTTAGGCATAAGCATTTTTCTGATTATCTAACTCTTATCAGGTGTTTGCATGATTACAGATGCATATGTAAGTTAGTTTCATATTCAAGGTTCGTATTAGAGTAATTAATTGTAGAAACAACAAAGTCCTTAAAGGACCAAGCTTTCATATTTAGATACTATAAACATTTTTGACAGGTTGTTTTTCCCCTATATAAAGAATTTAATTATGCCTAGATGTTTACATTTAGTAAGTATCTAGTATATAAAGTATAAATTAGAGCCAAAACTTATTTCTAAAAAAAATGCAAAAATGTTGCAATTCCCCATCAGATATGTCACATGGTCACTCAGACCACGACGAGGTAAAGACTGATGGGTATAAAACTGTTTGAGGAAAATTTTCATAAGACAAAAAAGAAAAAAGGTAATGATCTAAATATTAGTACAGGAAATATTCTAAATATGAAATAGAAGCCAACCTTGAATGGTGCGTTTGAAAAAAGCCTTGCATGCCTCGCATGATGCAACTCCATAATGGTACCCTGATGCAATGTCCCCGCACACCAGACACAACCTCTTCGGCATGGAATTCAACATGTACTCGCACTTAATTTGTGAATCTTCTCCAATTGTTGATGAACAGTCCTCATAACGTTTCGATCCGGGCCCTCCAGCAGGTCCCAGGGGTCCTGTGTTGGTACCGTAAAGACTTGGGGAGTCCAAGCCATTGGGGTGGCCGTTCATTGTGGATGAGTAGGAGCCAGAGGCGTCACTGGAGCCGCCAGGGGAGTGATGGTTTAGACTGTCAGTCAGAGAGGCAGGACTTGATGGTTCAGTCTTTATGTAAGAAGACGGACAATTCGACTCTAGGTGGCGCTCCTTACTGGACATTCTGCAGAGAAGCCTAAAGAAAGGAGATGGACATACGATACGAGAAAGAGAAGATAAGTCCAATTATAAATTCTAATCTTAAAAACAAATAAAAAAAACAACCAAAATCTTTAACATTCAGTTAAGTCCACATTAGCAAATACATACATTTATATTTAAAAAGAAAACAAGTAAAAAACAACAACAAAAAAACGATAGATAATTTTAAAAAATCCTGTGTTGGAGAGCAGAGAAGAATTTTTATAGCAGCATATCTTCACACAGCCACATTCACATGCTCAGGGGTGAGGTCATCCGTCACTCTCAAGTCAATAGCAGCTTGTTCAACATGAAGGTAATCAGTAAGCAGCCCCTCTGACACTCAGTCATCCCAGAGACAGGCCATACACACAGACACAGATGCATACACAGCCACATTAAGGCACGCTCACATACTGGTAGAAAAACAAAAAAACACAGACAGTGTACATATTGGAGAAAACGGGAGCAGGCTGATCAGCATCACTTTATGATCAAAGTCCCCTCATCATCTCTTGTACTGTGTCTGTCTTACTTTTCTTGGTTTTCCTTCCTTTTGTCCCTAAGGAGGCAGGCTGGTGTCTTGTTAATGGCAGTTGTAATTAACAGCTATCTTCACTCTGTCCATATCTTTCCATCCGTGCCTTTGTCTACCTTACTATCTATCTGTCTATCTCCCTATCACTTCCCATTCAGCACCATCTCTCTTTCTCTGCCCTCTCCCTCGCCTTCTCTTTCTCTTCACATTACTAGTCTCTGTCCCTCTAACCCTGCCCTCCCTCCCCTCACTCTCTTTCATTGTTAAAGGCAGAAAGCACAAAAGGGGTTTTTAATTAAGGCAGGATGCTGCTAAACGAGGGACTTCTAAAGTCCAGTCGGCCTGTAAAAGATCCTCATCCCACTGGGACCCATAAAACACAGACAGCGCTCCGACGGAAAATGGAGAGCTGCTCAGGTGGGGTAGTGGTGAATGAATACAGACAGGAAGAGAGACAAGCAGAAGAATAAAATCAGCAGGAGCTATAAGCATATTTTTTAATTTTTCAGCAGAACAAGATATATCTCCCTGAAAATTAAAAATTAAATAAACATTTTTTTTCTTTTGCTTAAAGGGTATAACAATCAGATGTCTGATTAGTCCTTTCAATCTTTTTGATAGTGTATTTTATTCCACTCCCATCCTGCAAGCATAACTGATTATTTCTGTATTTGTGGCATACACCAATGTTTATAAATCCATTTATCTAACACTAATGTAGGCCTTACGTTTAAAAAGGGTATGGAAACAAATCAAGCCTGTTGAAAGTAGCAAAGACATAGAAAGAGAGCTCATAAAGACATGAAGTGCTAGAAAAAGAGAAAAGAGAGACACAGTGGAAACAAGTGACAGGAAGAAATGCAACGACACAAAGTTGTCTGCGCTTCAATTGGGGAACTGAAAACAGCAGCGGCAGGAAAAAGCGACTAGACTCATTTAAGTAGATGATGTGGTGGCAATGATTTAATCTCTCCTTTTCCCGTCTTAATGCTCTTTTGTCCCCCTTCCTTTTCCACTGTCAATCCCTCTGAGTACCATTAAGCAAAAGAGTTTAAGTGCCAAAAGATCTCTTTCCATTCTCCATCCCAGTCCCTCTTTTCCTCTATCGTGTCATACTCCGTTCTCTCACTCATTCCCCCTCTGCTTATGAATGAAAAATAATTGCCATCGCAGGGGGAGAAATAAAAAAGAATAAAAAGAAGACATGCGTGCAGAGGAGAGGCACAGAGAAAAGAAGATTAAGAAATCACAGCCAGTGCGCTGTGCCAAGTAAGAGGTTGAATGCATTTATGTATGTATGTTATCAGTATAATTACGGCGCAATGTAGCGACGGCTCAGTGCTGAAAGAGCAGTCCTATTGTACCTTTCTGCTCTTCAGATGAGTGTGAAGAGAGAACATGAGGGCTGGGTCTCACTTAGCTCTTCGTGTTTTCTTAAGCTCAAAAGAAATGGATAAGACGTAAAAAAAGGATTCAGTGTTTTATTTCTTCCAGTTTATCCATGTATAAAGTTAATTGATGAGGATAACGAAGGAATTATTGCATCGTACTGTGTTGTTTGTTTAGAAGAACTGACCAATAAAGTGTAATAAGAGTGTCTTTAAAGATTGCCTTTTGCCTCGATTTAGAAAAGAAAGAAAGTTCAAGAAAGGAAAGCAAATATTTCCATTTTTATAAACCTCAGAGGCTTGAAATGCAGTAGAAAACTAACTTTGCGCTCACACTAAAAATGAGAGAAAAGTACTTTTCTTTCCCCAAAAATAAAACAAACATTTCTATTCAATTATTGACTTCTTTCACCAAGGCCTTTAGAAAAAGTAAAAAATAAATAGATAAGAATAAAAACATTTTACCCCATCTGACCAATTAGAAACATTAAAAAACTCGGTTATTGAGCAAGTAATTGTCAATACTGAGCAATGTCTTTTATTTTGTCATTTTAGTCTGATTGTTTAATCTTAGGTCGTAACTCCTCAGAAAATGTTTATTTTTTTAATCATTTTTTTAACAAACCAAGTACACCACTTTAAATTTGACCATTGAAAATATGTCTTTATCTTATATAATTTAAAACCCTCTATGCCACTAACATTGGCAAGGAGACTATACAAGTGGAGGACTTAATCAAAGGCAAATAATATATTTTTAGATTTATTTGACACACTGACTGTACAGCAAGTGAATCATTCAGCAGCTTATTTGCGGATGCGTTATATATTAGAAATCTGACTGCTTTGGGTTGGTTCTGACTTAAGTTTGGAGGTACTGCTGTGAGTGGTCAGTGTGAGGGCTTTCTAATGGGGGAGGGTTCCAGAACAACATCTGATGTGAGTTGGGAATTGTAGGAATCATACGTACTTTCATGTGAGACTCCAATAGGACATGGAAAAGTTAGTACATTTGCATAGAAATAAATCCTCAATAAAAATACAGATTAGATTAAGTAACCTCTAAAAATAAGCATCAATGGGTATGTTAAATGAAAAAGAAGTAACCTGGCCCCACTTATAGTCTTTGTCGTATAGCTTTAAACTTGATGTCATGAATCAGTGGCTTCAGATATTAACTATTCAGCACACTCATCTTAATCTGCGATCATACAAAACACTTTAGAGAGATTGCTTGTTTCTGTTTCCCACTCCATGAAAGACAACACAGTGACAGAAAAGAAAGGTTGTGGGAATGTGACAGAATGGGATGAATATAGACTTAAATAGAGGGTGGGCAGCTTTGAGAATGACAAGCTGCCATTAGAGAGGTAGACTTCCTCAGTAGTCTGACACAACTAGCCAAGACAACCATGCAATCATGGCATTAGAGTGATGAACGTCTCAAATTGTGTTCTTCTGCTCTGTGCTATTTACTATGAGCATCCTAAGTCTGCATCTGTGCTATTACTATAATATACACAATCTCAGTAAATTTCACATACAAGAGGGTAACAGTAAACACTAGCCCTGCTGCTTTGTAAAGGAAAGACTGTGTCCATAAATAACACATAGCTTACCCCCCCCCACCCCCCCCCCCCACCCCACCCCCAAAATCGATATTGCTATATCAACTAAACTTACATTTAACTAGCAGATATAGGTTGCAGATGAGGAAAATGTTAACAAATGTGGTTAAAAAACCCTTTATATTTATAAAACAAACTGTGAACTTTAGTGCCATGAGGTGCAGCAGGATGAAGCTTCCTACAGCGTTTACAATTTATTTTTTCAAAAGTTACAACCAATGGAAAAAATAAGTGTAGAACAGAAAACAGAGAGGAAGCATAAAGGGTGGCTGCTGTGACGGAGAGGGGAGAAATGCTGACAGTGTAGCTACAACGGGTCTGTTAATACCTTTCCTTCACACCTAGCATTGTGCGTTCAGTGCTGATAAGAACACACACTCCAATAAGCAAAAAGAAAAGGCCTTACACAATTTTATCTAGATAATACAGGCAATGCCCAGGAAGGGAAGAAAATAAAGGGAAGCATAGGCAGCATGAAAAAATACACTGAATTAAAGAACTGACTAAGGAGGAAAAGGTCCAAAATACATTTGCATATCCATCGCCAAGTGAATACAGTGATTTCACCAATGGAATAAATTGCGTTTTCAGCCCTTACTCTCATCCTTTGGTGCTCTGTCTTAGCTATGTTTCACTTATATGTCATTCTGCAGGATACAGAGTGGGTTAGTGAACAGTTTGCTAAATATTAAGCAATTAAAGACAGCCTCCTCTATCTATGATATATTTACAGATCACTTAATAGTGTACTGGTTTTAGTTAAAATGTTCTTTAGAGTGGAGATAAATCTACTAAAAAAATTGTTTCACTACCTACTTTTACATGTGAAAAATGTTTTCGATCTGATCTAAATCTTGGTTGGAAGTTAAAAATATCCGTTTACATGAATGCAAAATAAAATGATCCGATCATGATGTGTGTATACATGCACCGAGCGTTCGATCAGAATAAATAATTTGAGCATGCACAGAACTGTCTATTTTTCCTGAAATGCTTTTCTAGTAGAAGAAGAAGCTGTCTGTTCTGCATGCAAATCCATACTTGTCCACTCATCCTCAACTTTAGCTACTTCTTATACCTTCCAAAAAATTTTTATTTTTCTTTGGTTCTTAAGTCGTTGATGTGTTTTCTTTTACTATGGACCTTCATCGCATCTCATTTTTATTTTTGGTGGTAATTTAGTTAGTTAGTTAAGGGCTCAGTGGTACCTTATGTTAAAGCTCCTTTGCTACAGGGTGGAATGGCATGTTCATCTGCACATTAAATTTAGAGCCACCTCCTCCACCAAGGAGCCGGTCAATGAAGGTTAGCAAAGAGAAAAACATCACGCTGATGTTGTGCACGTTATGCAGATGAGATGATTTTACTCCAAAGATCTGAATGGGTGTGTACATGGATAAATTGAGTGGTGATCGGAAAAAAACACCTCTCAGAACCAGAA